TGCTTTCCCTGAGCTCACTTCGAGCTCACTTCTTCTTTTGCCGTTGAGTCCCCTTTGGACTCTAACACCTGGGCACACTGGACGAGCCGGGTGTCGTCAGAGACGTCACTTTCATTCACGGGAATGGTCTCTGCCCACCCCAATGTTCAAGTGGCCTCTATCCGCTCGAGGAATACGTCATCGACAACCTACCCAGCCTCGACCTGGGTACCATCCGGGTCGTCCATTGGCGCCCAGCCCAGATCGTGCGGTTCCTCGGCACCACGGACAGGATTGACCATGGTGGTGGCATCCGGCTCATCTACATGCCGCCCGACGATGTCACGGACGACGAGATGCTGGAGATGAGGAATGCACCCGACTGCCCTGTCTTTCATGAGCTCGACATTCGCAGGTGCACCCGCCTCCAGTCTCTGGCATGCTTACCGGCTCGCATGTGCAACCAGACCTTGCATCTGCCCCCATCACTCAAACGCCTCGACATACCGAGGGACACTGTCGACTCGCTCCGCCAGTCGCTGGAGCACCTTGGACGTGTCGCTTTGCTGTTTCAGTCGAGTACACCCCCACATGCACTGCATTTCTTGGTCGCCTGGAGAAGCTCTCGTATCTCGCCATACACGACGGGTGTGTCAGCCTCGATTGGCTCCCGAGCCGGCTCTCGTGCAAGTCCCTCTGGCTCGCCATCTACAGCGACACCCGCATCGAGCCACCCATTGCCCGCCAGAGGCTCGTGAGTCTCGTTGGAATCGAGAGGATCGCACCGTGGCTCTCCAAACTCAGTGGTCATCAGCGACTGGAAACGCTGACTGGCCTACCAGCACGCCCACCACCGATGCTCCGTGACGTGGATATCAGCGACTGTTGGTTTATTAAGAGTCTCGAGCCATTGCTCGCGTATCGAGATGTACATGTCACTTATCCACCCAGCGAGCGTATGCAGTGCCTGAACAAAGACGAACTCTGTGTCGTCAGGCGATTGAATGGGCAGTCCAGCATCGCACGCATCGCTGCAGTGCTCGGGAGCCCAACGGACTCGCAGAAGAAAAAGAAGATCAAGGCCTCTGTCACATTCAGATTGTGAGTCCAGCCAAAGCCATGTGCTCCGCGGGCGACATGGTGATCTGTGCGCAGCAGCGCCACAGGCGGCGATTTCTCGAGTCCGACCGGGGCTATTTCAGCCAGCCGCCCGTCTGCCCTCTGGTTGCCCCCTATCGCCCTCGTTCTCCTCCCTCTGGCGACGCCGTCCAGCAACCCACCATGTCATCCAACGCCCCTTGTTCTTCGCCTCCGCTCACTAGATCGAAGAGTCGTAAGCGAGCTTTGCCTTCACCGGTCGATCCTTCCACGACCAGCCTTGGTATCGACACTCAGCCGTCTCAGCCAAAGAAGAAGCGCCGTGCTTGGAACAAAAAGCCTCCCCTAGATCCCAAACAGAAACTATACAATGGGCATCCCATTGTCGACCCTTTCCCAAGGGATATGCTTCCAATGAACATCATGAAATCACCCACGTGGTTCGAGAAGCCGGTCATCTACCTCGACAAGTGTGATCGCTTCATGCAATCCACCTGGCTTGGCCGAGTCAGTACAATCAAGATTCCTGGGAGAGTCCCACGCTACTTCATGGATGCCCGTGAACTTATCGCAAAAGCAGACGGTTGGATATTCACCTCATACGACGAGCCCGAAGATCGATCGGAAAACACCAGAGCCAGACATTCCATTCAAACTAAGTGGTCCACAACGCTCAGTTACGTGGCTGCGATTTACATTAATTTTGCAGATCACAGTCATCACGACGTCCCCTACGTTAGCGAGGCTGGTATGTTGGAAATAATGCAAAAGGGGTTGGGTACACTTTCGGAGCAGTGGCGAGCTAAAGGTAATGATATTGTGAGGGCGATTTTTGGCGTCGACAATGAGGCGATTGAGAAGACGAAGCGAGAAATTCAACAGCATCTTAAAAATGGCGATAACGAAAACAGATATTTTGTTATTCAGAGTGGTGTTAAGTTTCAGAAAGCTGAATAAATGACACCCTTGGTTGTCTTAGTAGATGGCTCGCGAAGCATCTGCGCCCGAGGACACCTTTGCGGGAGACGCTCAGTATATCGCCCGTGGTTGTCTTAGTAGATGGCTCGCGAAGCGTCTGCGCTCGAGGACACCTTTGCGGGAGACGCTCAGTATATCGCCCGTGGTTGTCTTAGTAGATGGCTCGCGAAGCATCTGCGCCCGAGGACACCTTTGCGGGAGACGCTCAGTATATCGCCCGTGGTTGTCTTAGTAGATGGCTCGCGAAGCATCTGCGCCCGAGGACACCTTTGCGGGAGACGCTCAGTATATCGCCCGTGGTTGTCTTAGTAGATGGCTCGCGAAGCGTCTGCGCTCGAGGACACCTTTGCGGGAGACGCTCAGTATATCGCCCGTGGTTGTCTTAGTAGATGGCTCGCGAAGCATCTGCGCTCGAGGACACCTTTGCGGGAGACGCTCAGTATATCGCCCGTGGTTGTCTTAGTAGATGGCTCGCGAAGCATCTGCGCCCGAGGACACCTTTGCGGGAGACGCTCAGTATATCGCCCGTGGTTGTCTTAGTAGATGGCTCGCGAAGCATCTGCGCCCGAGGACACCTTTGCGGGAGACGCTCAGTATATCGCCCGTGGTTGTCTTAGTAGATGGCTCGCGAAGCGTCTGCGCTCGAGGACACCTTTGCGGGAGACGCTCAGTATATCGCCCGTGGTTGTCTTAGTAGATGGCTCGCGAAGCATCTGCGCCCGAGGACACCTTTGCGGGAGACGCTCAGTATATCGCCCGTGGTTGTCTTAGTAGATGGCTCGCGAAGCATCTGCGCCCGAGGACACCTTTGCGGGAGACGCTCAGTATATCGCCCGTGGTTGTCTTAGTAGATGGCTCGCGAAGCGTCTGCGCTCGAGGACACCTTTGCGGGAGACCATCGTTGCTTTATTCAAAGATCAGCCTATCATGGTAGCAAGTCTTAAGGCCATACCAATTGCCAATGTTACCATTGTTGAATAAGTACAAGTTAATGATGACACGGATGAAAGGGTGGAGGGTGATATAGTATGAAGCCAATCCAAGGGACTCAGTGAAAAAGACGTTTTTCCTCCATCCCATAACAGTCAAGCCATCGCCGGCAAAGGTGTTTTCCAACCCTTCAAACCAAACACTGACGATTCCATCAATTATCATGGCGCTGCTATCGTTGGAGCGATCCGATCCGAAAAACTCACGAAGAGTGGGGTCTTCGTCAATCAAGTTGAATACAGTCTTGAAGTTGGTGGGGTCTCTGTCGACGGGATTCGCGATAGCATGCTTGAACCCGGTGATATCGAGCTTCTGGAATGACCAGCGTTCATCTGGAAGCTCCTCGACCCCAGCGGCCATGCCTTGAGGAGTGGGAGTGGTGGGGCGAGCGGAAGGACCTGGCTGGGTGTCCTCGGGGTCGCTGAGCTTGGTTCGCTTTGTGCCGTATATGAAGGCTTCAGCTCTGTCCAGGATTCCAAAAGCGGTGGTCTTGTCCTCGACACCCTTGATGCACTCAAGTGCAGTCTTATAGGCATCCAGGCTGAGCTGCTTCTTCTGGCTCTCGATTTCTCGATTCTTGCTGTCGATTGTGGCCATGTCCTTGGACCATGCCATAAATACAGCCATGTCATTGCCCGAGGCAAGCACAGCGTCCCTGATTGGTGTCATGAATTCGCAGCATCCCATTGGCACAGCCTTCATCGCGGCGAAATCTCTCTTGAGCGAGACGACAGCCGCTCCATCGGGAGTTGCGGGCTCAACAGGAGGTGCTTGTGATGACCAGCATCACAACGGACCAATGAGATTGTCCCGCATGCTCTCGCCCTCCGCACCAATCATGAGTCCCCACGTGTTTGTTTGCCCCCATGCATGAGCACGCGCCGTTGCCACCCGCGTCTACTGGTTTCCTGCCTCCCCCACCGCTCGGCACATGTCCCCGGGCTGTGCCAAGCCTCTCTCGCTTGCACACCAGCCACTCTCGCACCCCCTTCTCGCTTCTCTGTGATGCTCCACCCTTCTCGCCCACTTTTGCCCCTCGACCTTCTCCCGGTCTATAAATAGCCCTGCATGTCTGAGCCTATGTTGAACACCAGTTCGAACAAAACTTGTTCTTTGGTGTTCGGGGCTAAAAGCTAATAAAGCTCATACCAAGCACTTGGTCTTCGTCCTTGCGCTTGTTCACTCCTTACACTTTGTTCGAACTCTCTTCTACTGATACCACCTGCTTGGTATCTTCCGCTCCTAGCCCCGCCCCTTTCCTAGTCCTGTCCGAACCTCAAGCACACTTGTGTCTGAGCCCTCTTCGCTCTCCTGTTCTTGAACCTCCTCGCTTTTTTTTTTTTTTCCCAGTCCCAGTCCCAGTCCCGCCATGGATCCTGCCCTCGTGGACCGCCTCCGTGCCTTGGAGGCCGAGCTCGCCGAGCTCCGGACAGCTCGCGATGCTCCTGCCGCTGGGTACAGCGTGCAGATGCCGGACCGTTACGACGGTAACCGGCAAGGGTTCCGGGCATTCGTAAATCAGTGCAAACTGTATATACGAATGCAGCCCCACCGGTTCCCTGCTGACCCGATTAAGGTCGGATTCGTCATTAGTCTGCTCACTGGACCGGCTCTCCAGTGGGCGACTCCGATGCTTGAGATGGGTGATCCCCGACTCAACTCTTTTGGCGATTTCCTAGAACGCTTTTCCAAAGTGTTTGACGACCCTGATCGGGCCAGGACTGCCGAGTCAGTGATCACCACACTGTCTCAGGGCAACCGCCCGTGCGCAGTCTATGCATCCGAGTTCCTTCGTATTGCCGCCGATACGACTTGGAACGACGGTGCAAAGATCTCGTTCTTCCGACTTGGCTTGTCGGATGATGTCAGAGACGAACTTTCGCGAGTTCGCCCTCTGCCACGAGATCTGGAGGAGTACATCGAGCTTTGTAACGAGCTCGATGCACGAATCCGCGAGCGCCGTCAAGAGCGCCGAAGCACGCCTGCCCGCTACCGGTCTTCCCAGTTCGCCTTTGGTTCCGCCTCCGCTGCCGTTCCCGCCATCGCTCCCGCGCCCGTCCTCGCTCCGCCGCACCCCTCCTACATTGTTTCCGAGCCCATGCAAGTGGACTCTGCCGTCTCTGGACCCCTGACCGCCGAGGAGAAACAACGCCGCCGCCGCTTTGGACTCTGCCTGTACTGTGGCAAGAAGGGCCACTTGGTACGAAACTGCCCCGTCAAGTTTGGATCTACCAGAGCTACCGGACCGCCCCCTGGACCTCCCGGCCCGAGGATCATCCGCACCATCGTTTACGAAGATGGAGAAGTGCAAGACTTCAGTTCGGGAAACGACCAGGCCCGGTTCTAAGTGAAGGCCTTGAACCGGAGCCGTGCCCACCGCCTTCCGAAAGTGAAGACATTGGTAAGGTGCCTTTGGTAAGTACTGGGGAAGCAGTGATGTGCGGACAGCTTCGCCTTGCCTCTGGACCGGCGGACACTCTCAGCTCTGGCATAGTACCCGTGGCACCTCTGGTGTCACTGGGAACTGCACCTCATCCACAGGTGCAAATACCTGAGCTGTCCTGCCAACCCTCGGCAAAGTTAACTGTCTGTGCTAGCCGCAACCCTGGTGCCGAAGCTGGTACCGAACCAAAGTCTTGTGTTTCGTCTGTTCGTCGTTGCTCGTTGGTTGTTCCCGTCGCTGTTCGTCTTCCTTCTGGTGATTCTCTGTCGTGCGAAGGACTTGTCGATTCTGGTGCCTCTGGCAACTTTATCGACGAGGACTTTGTTGCTCGACACTCTGTCCCCACCTGCTCCAAGGCTTCGCCCTTGGCAGTGGAAGGCGTGGATGGTAAGCCGCTGTCGTCTGGCCCCATCCTCCGCGAGACTGCTCCACTCGAGGTGATTCTCGGGGACGTCTCGCAACGCCTTCGGTTCGATGTGATCAGGTCTCCACATCAACCACTTATCCTTGGCTTTCCTTGGTTGCGCACCGCCGAGCCCAAGATTGTCTGGTCTCGCGGTCTTCTTTGTCTCCCTCCTTCTGTTGATTCCGACCCCTCTCCATGCACTACTTCTCTTTCGTCTTGCTCCACTTCCTCCAATGTCACTCCCCTTCTTGATGATTCCACTCCTTTGATTGATCTAAGCTCCTCTCCTACGCTCCCACCTTCGTCTTCCCCTTCTTGTCTTGTTCCTCCCGAACCCCTTCGCTCTTCCCAAACCCCTTCTTCTGTTGTCAGTTCTCTTTCCCTCCTTGATGTACCTCCTCCTGTTGTTTGTTCTTCGGACATTGTTCAGAATAAAGTAACCGTCGAACATTATTCTGACCTTGTCCACGCCCCTCCTCTCAGCTCGGACGCTCCTCTCCGCGTCTGCAGCATTGATTACCGCTCGATGCGCGAGTCTTTGGATGCATGCAGGCATGGAACGCAACCCCTGACCATCTTTCAGGTCCATGTCCTGCCCACTGACGAGCCGAGCACTGCGACTGTCGAAGTGCCTGCGGAGTACAAGGACTTCCTGTCTGTTTTCTCTAAACAGGAAGCTGACTCCTTGCCTCCGCATCGCCCTTATGACTGCCCCATTGACTTGGAGCCGGGCAAGTCGCCAAAGTTCGGGCCTCTGTACTCACTGTCCGAGCCCGAACTTCACGCTCTGCGTGACTATCTCGACGAGAATCTTGCCAAGGGATTCGTTCGTCCTTCGTCGTCCCCAGCAGGCTCACCAATCCTCTTCGTCAAGAAGAAGGACGGCTCACTTCGTCTTTGCGTTGACTACCGCGCACTGAACGGTATCACGGTAAAGAACCGTTACCCTTTACCGCTGATCGGCGAGCTGCTGGACCGACTTCGAGGCGCGAAGGTGTTCACTAAGCTGGACCTTCGTGGAGCCTACAATCTGCTGCGCATCCGCTCCGGGGACGAGTGGAAGACAGCTTTCCGTACTCGATATGGGCACTTCGAGTACTTGGTGATGCCCTTTGGGCTCACCAACGCGCCAGCGACGTTCCAGCACTTCATCAACGACGTCCTGCGCACCGAGTTGGACCAGTTCGCAATTGCGTATCTTGACGATATCTTGATCTACAGTGCTGATCCGTCGCAGCATGTAGAGCACG